CTAAAAGTGAGGAAAGGAAGAAAGAACACTTCCTCCATGATCTTAAGGTGGAAATAAGAAGTTTTGTTCAAATGGTAGCCGATACTTATAAGGATATGATGAGAAAGGCATTTGGAGTCGAAGTGGAGCGGAAGAAAAGTGCTCATATTCCATCATCGAGTATAAGAAAAAGAGGAATTCCTAAAAATAGATTTAGAGAACGACTTACCGGGAAGAGGCCTTTCAATCCAAAATGAAAATGGGACAATAAGAAAAGGAAATGCACCTATAAGGTCTTAAAGGGCGAGAGGATGAAGGTAACTAAAAATGTCCAAGGCATGGATGCTCATATGTTGGTGATTGTCTAATGGGCACAAATGCATGCTATTTTTGTCGGGAGGCGGGACATCTATCCAATAACTCTCCGAAAAGAAACCGATCGAAGGATAACTTATGCTTGGACGCATGTACACTTTAATGTAAGAGGATGCAAATAAGGACGATGCTAACATTATATGCGATAATGTCTCATTCCTAAACTTTACTACATATGCATTGATAGATTCAAGTGCCACACATTATTGATTACATGCTCATTATTAAGACGATTAGGTATGGCACCGTAAACCTTAGATGTGATGTATGAGGTGGCACTCCCATCGGGAGAGTCGCTAGAATCCGATACCATAATTAGAGAATGTGAGATGAAAATTGAAGATTTTACTTTACTTGTCGATCTTAGTGGTCTTAAGTATTTGAGATTTCGATATTATTCTCGACATGGACAAAAGTCTAGGAGCGAGTGTTAATGTAAGATGGAAAAGTAATCATCTATGCATCTCGATAATTGAAAGACTACAAAAGAAATTATCCCACTCATGACCTTGAGTCGGCTGCATTAATCTTTGCCTTAAAGATTTGAAGGCACTACCTATATGGTGTTCGATGTAATATCTACATCAATCACAAAAGCCTTATATACATTTTTACTCAAAAGGAGTTAAATATGAGGCAAAAAAGGTGGCTCGAGATGCTTAATGACCACGACATTGTTTTTCATCACCATCTAGGAAAAGCGAATGTCATGGTTGATGTACTAAGTAGAAAGTCTTTAGTAGCTTTACAAGCGCAAGTTATGCATGATATGAAGAAACTTCAACTAGAAGTTATGCTTGGTCAAAGTCAAGGAAACTTTTTGAGTGCATTGACTATACAACCAAACATAAAGTAGAAAGTTAAGCGAGGGAAAGCATAAGATTTGAAATTCCTTAAGATTCAACGAAAGGTGATGGAAGAAAAAATAACAAAGTTTGCCTTAGATGATGAAGGTATTTGGCATTATTGAGAATAAAAAGGAATTATAGGAAGAAATTTTGAGGGAAGCCTATACTACACCTTATACCATACATCTAGGTGGTACGAAGATATATCGAGACCTTAGGAGACTTATTGGTGGAAATAGATGAAATGAGATATCATAGATTATGTGGTAAGGCGTTTGACATGTGAGTAGATTAAAGTCAAACACCAAAGGTCGTCAAAATTATTGATGCCATTGGATATACCCGAATGGAAATAAGAGCACATATCGATGGATTTTATATTGGGGCTATCGAGATCAAAATGAGGAGAAAATGGCATATGGGTCATAGTAGATCGATTGATGAAGTTAGCTTACTTCCTAGCAATTAAAATGACATATTTCATGCAATAATATGTAGAGTTATATTTAAGAGAAATAATCCGACTACATGGAATTTTCATCTTAATCGTGTCAAACAAGGACCCTCGGTTAATGTCATGATTTTGGCGGAGTCTACATGAGATGGTGAGAACTAAATTAAACTTTAGCACCACTTTTCATCCACAAACGGATGGACAAACGAACGGGTGAATAAGATATTGAAGGACATGCTACGAGCGTGTATGCTCGGATTGGTCAATGAGTTGGGATAAATATTTATCACTCGGTTGAGTTCACTTACAATAATAGTTACCAAGCAAGTATCAATATGACACCTTACGAAGCTTTATATGGAAGAAAGTGCCAATCACTAATACATTAGGATGATGTAGGTGAACAAAAAGCTAATATGACTAGAATTGATCCAAGCAAATAGTTGATGTCGTTCAGCAAGTCAAGATAAGGATGAAAACAACATAAAACCGATAAAAGAGTTATGGGATGTAAGAAGAAAAGAATTGAAATTTCAAGTCGACGATAAAGTATTTTGAAAGATAGCCCCTATGAAGGTTTAATGAGATTCGAAAGAAAGGGAAAATTAAGTCCATGATATATAGGATCTTATGAAATATTAGAGAGGATTGGTGATCAAGCCTATAGATTGGCATTGCCACCCTCACTCTCATCAATCCACATGTGTTTCATGCATCTATGCTTCGAAATACCTAAAAGATTCGAACCATATATTGAGTAATGAACTTCTAGATCTCCATGCCGATATGAGCTATGAAGAAGGGCTAGTACAAATCTTGGATTGGGAGGTCAAGAAATTACAAAATAAGAAAATTTCTCTAGTTAAGGTATTATGGAGGAATCATGAGATAGAGGAGGCGACAAGGGAGAGAGAAGCGAAAATACGAGCTCGGTATCTCGAATTATTTAATAGAAATTTCGAAGATGAAATTTTTATAAGGAAGGAAGGATTTAATAATCGATACACGCTAAAACTAAAATTAAATAAATATTAAATATTAAACGTATGTGAGAAATATTTTGAAAATATGAGATAATCCTTAAGGAATTTAAAGAATATGTAGAATAGTTAAAATAGCCTTTTTTTTATGCTTAATAGATATTTTATTGATTTTTTGATGTATGAATAGTAACTTTTGCACGAAATAATTATTTTGAGCATGTTGTATATGCATGAAAAATATTTTTCTTGCTTAAAATATTTGTTAGAGGAGCGTTGAATTATTGTATATGATTGAGTGAATTTTTTTTATGTGTTGTGAATACTTTATTTGAATTGTTTTGTATAGGAATAGTGTTTTAGCAATAGAAGAATTTAATTAGGTATGTCAAAAGTATGAGGAATTTTTTTAAGGGCATAGAAAAATCATATAGAATGTGTAGGACTACTTAATAAATTTAAATTAATTTTATCGAGTATAAGGAATATTTTTTCATAGGAAATAGTATAATTTTTACACTAAATAATTAATTTGGAGGCCTAAATAAGGTACAAAAATTATGAAAATTTAGATTAAATCCTCTTAATAAAATTTTGAATTTATTCTAGAAAGAAATTGAATTTTTGAAAAGCATATTCAAATTGAAAAATCAATGCATCAAAAATACCTTGTTTGAGGCGGATGGCTTTTTATACATATTTGATAAGCCATCATCAGATCCGTTATGGTCTTTTCTTTCACGATGTTGAAAACAACGTTTCACTTCAATGTCAACTAAATAACACTCTAAGCCTAGTGATCCAATAGAACTCAATCAACATATTTCATTCCTCCGGCTTATTCCTTAATAGGGGTTCATATAGCTTCTTCTAGTACATATAATCTTCAATTTGTATCTTTTAGAATCCGAAGTCTTTGCCATCGAACTTGTCAATCCTGAATTTTCTTTTATCCGCCATCATTCCTCCTTACCTACATAACTAGGACTCTAACACTAGTTGTTAGGAAATGAATGAAAAAAAAAAAGACTAGAAAAATCACACAACATAATGATTTACGTGGTTTTGCAATTATGCCTACTCTATGACTGCACTAGGATTTCTTATTAAGATTTTATCAAGTGGTTGCTTATAAACATGAGAGAGAGCACCATGTGTGTAGCATCCTAAACTGCAGGCTACATCCACATCGGTCTCTACAACTTAACAAATCATGATATAAAAAGTAGTAACTATTAAATTCAATTTGAATGCTTGATTTAGCTCATGATAAAAAGGAAAACAATTTAATACATATTACTTTTTTCATCTCATCTAATATAAATCATTTAATTTGATTGGTCATTTTTTCTTAATAATATGGTAAATATATTACCTAATTCAATCATATATCCTTTGCTCTAAATGAAAACTTTCCCTTTAAATCTAATCATGATATATTATATTTGCTTAATCCTAAACATATATTTGTTGAGAGACACCATTTTCTTTTACGTCTCAAAATTGAAATTGTTTTGTAGGTAATGCTAGCAAGAGTCCCTTTACTTTTTATTTCGTATTTCTACTCTTTCTTAGCTTAATCTCATCCCTCCACAGTTGCTTTTTGTTATCATTATGTCCTCTCGTCAATATTTTGAACTAACAACTTAAATCTTACATTTAGCTATACAGAATTGTGAAATGTTTTAAAATTAGCCGATTCCATTTCTTTTTATTTTTATCATTTCTGTTCTCTACCTTTTTTATTTCTCAATTGCTTTTTCTCTTTCTTCCATGTGATTTTTTCTGTCGGAATCAGGGATACCTTAAAGGTAAAAAATGCATATAATAAAGAAACTAAAGGCTTACTCTATAGTGAAGCAATTACTTTTGTTACTTTCCTAAAGAAGTATTCCTCTTTATCCTTATCCAATATCTCATCAATCCCCACCTCGACGTAGTGTAATGATTTCATTCATTTGATGCTTACTTCTCAAAGACGAAAAGAACAAAGTAGTTCAATAGAACAAAGCTTTAGATTGCCTATATAGGTTGAGCATCTCACTTTTGATTAGTTTACCATTGTTGTCAATGAGAAGATAGCTTAAATTATTTTCTCCATTGATGATGAAATCGAACTAGGTGCACATCAGATAACCTCCGGATAGACGCATAGCCTGCTCTCAAGATAACTTTTAGTTGAAAAGGGACCCATGAACCCAACCGATGGTGTCCAAAGATTGGATAAGGGGCAGTTTTACACACTGTGACTCTGATAGCTGGCTTATCTTTTTGTGCATAAATGTTTTTATAATGTGTGTTTATATACTAAGGAGATCAAATCGAAACAAAGCACATTCTTGAGATAGAGTTGCATCGAAACCAATGGGTTCTGAATGGTCAGTAGTACTGAGCATCAGACTTCTCTTTCTTCACTTTCTTCTTCTATGGCAACTTGGCATTGGGGCTACTTTCAGCAATGGCACCAAAGCTACCTCTAATAATGTTACGTCCACAGGTGGTGCTCTTATGGATGTTGAAGGTACAAATTGTTGGTTATTCTTTCAAAGTTATTGAATATGCATGTGTTTAATTGTTATCTAGAGTTTAGCTCCAAGCAAACTTTAATGACTAATTGATGTAGGATATTGTTAAAGCATGGAGATAGAATTTAAGATGAAAGAATTTCTTAAGAATAAATCTATCACTGTTAACATAATTAGTTACATTTCTTGGTTAATTAAACGTATTGGTCATTGTAACCCGTCTATGTACGTATAGAATAAGGTCGACTTAGTATTTTTATCTCAAGATGAGAAGATCTTAGTCGGATTTAATAAGAAGATGTTTTTGTGCTGAAACCTTCGGTAGCAAGTGCTCTTCGAATCCTCTTCAAGAGTTTCAAGTCCACAAACACAACGAAGTTTCTTCTGTCGTATTCGATTTGTTCTACCAATAAGGATGCTGAGATCAAATGTTCGTGTAACGCCACCAAAAATGGATCGACTTGTTCGATTACTACAATGTATGTAAAAAGAAAACGATCAAGATTGCATGAAATCTGTTTCAAAATAATCCTCGCATCACATCACTTTTTTTGACAGAAACTTGGCAAGCAAAATGTTGGATGGATTCATTGACTCATCAATACGTGTCTTTAACAACTTGAAAGTGCTGTAAGTATCCCTCCCTTTCCCATATTGGACTACTGTGAAATGTGCTGTGCCTGTTGAGCTAAACGCCTACAGCGGTCACGAATGATGAAATTGAGGTCTGATCATATTGCCACAACAGTGATCTATCCGAAAACCAGCTTTCTGGTGGAATTCCTCCCTCGCTAGGGAATTTACCGCGTCTTCTAAAATTGTATGTTAATTCTATGATTCATGGTTTTATGTAAATGATGGCAGGCATAGTCTTTGCTTATTTCTAATGGAACAATGGCTATGTGCTGAATTCAGGGACCTTTCCAGAAATATGTTGAACGGATCCATACCTTCAAGCCTTACAAAGTTGCATAGTCTGAAAGTTCTGTAAGTCTGTCATAGTTGCATAGTCTGATATCCACTTATTCGCCAAAAAAAAAAAACTAATTTGCTACAGAACGTATTTTTATTTTTATTAAAGAAGCAAAACAATTTGTTATGTGATCTCTACTATTTTCTTAAATAAAAATACAATTTTTTTAAGTAAAACAACCAAATACTGAAAGTGTCATTTTCAAATCTCAATAGTTGTGATGAGAGATCACAATATCTCTCTCTCTACTTCTCTTGTCGGAGTTTGGTTGTGATCTTGTACAATTTTTGGTATAATTTTTCACATGGAGCAAACTTTACAAGAAAAATAAAATACAAAAGCTTCCAAACAAGCTACCCTTTTTAGAATGTTTTCTTCTTTTTTTTTCTTAAAGTCACTTGTAGGTTTTCCCAAATAATAATAATAATAATAATAATAATAATTTTTAAAAATTGCAAGAAATCTGGAATGTATCTAGATTACTGAAAGAGAGTATATTGCTTCCAAAGACAAATGCAGGAAGACTTTTTTGCTACATCATGATTATGCTAACCGTTTGGAATTAGTATGCTCCATAGAAGTGTATAAATTCAATTCATGCAAATTAGCTGAAAGTCCTTTTCTATTGGGATGTCCGGTGATTTCACCCGAACAGCAATCTCTCCGAAAATGATCTTAACGGTGCCATACCTCAGAATCTGACGGGTTGGCAATTGCTTGGCATTTTGTAAGTTAATGCCGTGCATGCTAGCTTTGGTTTCGTATATCTTTTCTTGTTTATATATACATCTTTAATGGATCCGATATATGTGTTCAAAACCAGGGATATTTCAAGGAATAAATTGACTGGACCTATACCAGACAGCATAAGTGATTGTCAAAACTTGATTATCATGTAAGTCTTTGTGCTTACAGCATAGTGATTAAGAATTCTAAGCCCACGGCAGAACATTGTTTTTGTCTTGAGGGAGCAGTGCCGGTATTACTTTTTTTTTTTTTTTTTTTTTTTTTGAAGCATTATGAAACTTTGCGGTTTCAAATAAACTGTGCATCTTCTTGTCACAGCACTCTCCGCTTAAACTTCCTCAGTGGATCTATACCTGAGGCATTAGGCACACTCTCTTCACTAAATATTCTGTAAGGAACTTCACAGCCAGCTATTAAGTTAATTGGATATGGTTCAACAAGATTGCAAAATTCTGATCGTCACTGATCTGTTCTTTCTACATGATTGCGTCTTGGTTTCTCTTACATGATATCATACAATTTGCAGGGATCTTTACAGTAACTCTTTATCGGGCCATATTCCTGCGGCATTAGGACAACTGTCTGTACTCCAGTTTTTGTAAGAAAAATATACTAACAAACCATTTTTTTTTATTTTATTTTCTCTTTCAAGTGTATTATAAATTAATTTTCTCCTTATTTGTCTGTTTCCTTTGAGGAAAAAGGAATCTGGATGACAATAATCTCGAAGGCGAACTTCCTATGGAGCTTGGAGATTTGGAAAACCTTCAACATCTGTAAGTTTCTTTCTTTCGTTTTTATTTATCATCACGGAGATTTGTTGAGATCGCAACGCCTTGATTAATGCAAGTGGGTGGCAACCCTCCTAAGAGAGGATTGGTGCACCTGAGTTTCTAGAAGGACAAGAAACAATGGAAAATACATGAGGAGGCATTACCTACAGGCCTCGGGCCTAATGGCATGAGCCTCGATCTCGTACTTACAAAGAGGTCACAGGTTGAGTTTGAAAATACCCCATTATGAGAGTAGCCTCTCAACTTTTGTCATGGTAATACGACTCACCTATCCTGTTCTCCACTAACTACTAACACTAATTCCATGATTGTCTGTTTTAGATTATGAGCTGGATGGATGGTTATATCTATGTCAAAAAAACAAAAAAACGAAGAGAGAACGTAGAATTGTCATATCTTTGGCTTTCGCCTGACAGCCTTAATTTCTTGCAGCTATTTGACAGCAAATAAATTTACTGGGAAGATCCCTGAGACATATGACAAACTTATCCTTCTAAAAACCTTGTGAGTTTCTTCCTTATATTTTTTTTTCTATTACTATTTCAATTATTTTGTTTTACGGTTTGGGTCAATGCAGTGCGGTGGGTGGAAACAATTTGTCCGGTCGGATACCTAGTTATATTGGAAAATGGGTCAACCTCACTAAATTGTAAGTCTTCTTTGATATATAATTTTTTTTCCCGGAAAATTGTAGTCGAATTATGAACATTCTTGGAGATAATTAAATTTATAACCGAAAGCAATTCGATGTATTGAACACGATAAGAAGGATATTTAGCTGGCCTTTTCATTGTGTAATTGTCAGGATTCTTATGGGCAATAATTTTGAAGGGAATCTGCCTGCAGAAACTTTTACTCTGCCAAATTTACAGAGATTGTATGTGCATTCCGGTAACATCTGCAATTTTTTTTTCTTTTTTTTGTTCGGAGTTAGAATGTTTTTTTTTTTTTTTTTTTTGCTAAAGAATTCTAAAGTGTTGTCCAATGATTCCAGGTTTGTCAGTGACGTAAGCAATCCTGGAATATCTTTCCCAACACATGAAGTAATCTTAAAAAATGTGTTCTCTGTGTGAGTGCTTTTCTTCATGTATAGTTATAATGGCTATCTTTCTCTGGATCAATCCAAGAGTTCTATCATTATTCCCTTACCTCAAAAAAAAAAAAAAAAAAAAAAAAAATAATAATAATAATAATGAAGTTAAATAATAAGAATAATAAATAAATAAATAAATAAATAAAACAGACGAACTTTAGCGACAGATTAGAGTACAGCCTATCTGTTAAGGCTTGAGATATACACTAGGAAGTTAAAAAGAGAGAGGGATACCTCCTTGGTGTGTAGCTCGAGGCACATTTGGGCCTTACTATAAGAAAACGAAAAAATAAAAATAAAAACACTATTTTCAGTACTATTGTAATTGTATACATTTGATGCTTAACTTGAAATAAATTAGAGTATTTAAGAGTAGTCCGTAGAGAAACAATAATTTTGTTATTTAGATGGTTTTTTTTTTAAAAAAAAATGTTTAAACTTTGTAATTTTGACAGCCACCTGCTCTCTTCCTATTAATCTATTCTCGATTTTCAAATAAATAAATAAATAAAATTGAAGTTGTTAATCTGCAAATATAGATTCCCTTACTTCTTCAATTGTTTATGCAGGGTTCTGAGAAATTGCAAAATCAATGGTTCAATACCCCAATACATTGGCAAGTGGCCTCAATTATCATATCTGTACGTCTACCATTTTTCTAAATACCTAGTAGCTTTCCCATATTAACTAGTTTATTTTTTTCTTTAGTATTTGGCAAATCTACACCAAAGTGGTTAAACAATCACTTGTTATTGAAGAGTTAATTATATAAAATTATTATAGAATCTCACCGAATAGTTTAAAATTTTGAATTAAGATAATTGTTTTTACCTGACTCAACTCTTATGATCTCTAACATTTTTTTCAGTACTTCTTCAGTTATATGTTCGCTTCAAACTTAAATATGATATTCCATCTTAGGTTATCAGTCTTGCGTATTATAGAAACAAGATTTGATGCATTTTGCTTCGTCTTGCAGTGATTTGAGCTTCAACAAACTAACTGGCCGCATTCCGGAATCATTTCAGACCCTGAATAAGTTGTATGTGTATAAGTTGTTCTATATACAACATAACGAGCTGGTAAACCAGTGTTGCTGATGGGTTGGTGTTTCCTGCTTAGATATTTAACAAACAACGAGCTTACTGAGCTTCCTTTCTGGATCACTAAGAAGCCGAAGGCAAGGCCATCTTCCTACCCTAAAGCGTAAGACAGTAGATTAACGTCCATTCTACAAGCTTATTTGCAATTGTCTACATAACATATTGTTCGTGAATATATATATATATATATGCTTCAGTAGCGTCAAAACTTTTTTATTTCATTTCATTAATCATTCATCTTAGGAATCACAAAAAAACTTAAATTATTTTACCCATTATTAGGGAGGAACATGAGGGTAGGTTAAGGGGAGGCAAATTCAGTTATTAATGGCATACTATCTATAGAGTTTTAGTTGAGATTGAATTCCATTAAAAAAAAAAACTTAAGTCCTAGAGTGGGTGATAATTTCATAATTTTATATATTACTTATTTTTTGTTTAAGAATTTAATACATTATAGAAATTGTTTGCGGTGATGGTAATTAGTCATGAAATGATGGAAGGAGGTAGATCAAAAAACCTGAAATATTTTGAATTTTTTATTTTGATTTAAATTTTTGTGTGAATTAAAATAGATTTTGAAATTCTAAACAAGTTTGTTGCTATTATTTCAATGATTTTGAGGTGTTTTTTAGACAAAATCATGGCTGAATTTTGTTTTGAGAGACCTAAAATAATAAAACCCGACTTTTTGATAAGTTTGTTGGATATTATATTTCATATTTTTCCTCACTTGCAATCCATCTTTTGGTATGTCAAGTGACTTGTGTTTTAATATCTTTATTGGGGTGTTAAAACTCTTTGAGGCTTTCATATCATACTCTTTGAGGCTTTTATATCATATAAAATTACATAATTGAGATTATATTTCATCCAAAAAACTTAATTCTTATGGTGGATGGCCTTTTGATAACTTTATATGTTACTTATTTTTTATTTAACTATTTAATATAGGATATTTTCTTTAACACTATTATACAAAATTTTCATATGCACAAACATGATAATTAATTTATTTTATGAAATCAACAATTTAATCAATGAAGCTAGCAAGGAGCTAGAAAAAATAGATTACAGTTAAGCTAAGAATTTATTAGAACTATAAAGACTAGATTTAACCAAAGAATCAGAAATATGAAAGTATTTTGCTATTTGTGGATGGAAATATGAAAGCATTTCAAGGAGAAATTTGAATTATAATTACTTTCATTTTAATTAATTGTTATCTTGCAGGGATCTTTCATACAATAACTTCAATGTGAATTGTACAGATGAAACATGCTCTGGACTGGCAGGTGTAAATATGTAAGGCTTTTGACCAAACTCGTGCCTATTTTGCATTATGTGACAATTTTGTTGAATTCAGTAAATCACTTCTGAAAGTTTCTCACTGAATGTTTTTTTTCCTCCGCCATGATGTTGGTGCTTCTCCAGACACCCAACTAGGTATGTAGTAGCATCATTTTTGCAATAAGAGTGATCCTGAAGTATTCTAACAAGTTAATTTCTCGTGTTTATTAGGTCTTTCATAGCTAACATGCAGGCGGAAAAATGTCATCGGAAGCGTATGTTCATTCTTCTGAAAGCTAAATGAAGTCGTCTGGCTTAATTTGCCCATCCAATTGGGATTCCTGATTTTTTTTATTTTATTTTTTTATAGACATCAATACAACCTAGTGGCCCATGTCCCAACAGAAGCAAAAAATTTGATAGATTTGAATTGACCAGCTGAGAGGCTTATCTGGACTCCTCTTGCAAAAAAACCAATTTAAGCCCAAATTCTTTAGAAGAATGGGATTAAAAACCATGACCCCTTCGCAAATGCAAGGGATCATAGCTAGTGCGCAAGCTCACATAGATAGATAGATAGATAGGGAATTTGTATTTTCTAATTATGTTGGTTAAATTTGTTATGGAGAACAATCATGCTTGTATTGAAAATTAATTTTCTTGCAGATAATTCCTTGTTTATCAATTGTGGTGGTGAGGAGGTTAACTTGGGAAAGGATCATTATTATAAAGATACCTCAATATCAAGTTTTCACCAAAGTACATCCGAAGATTGGGCTTATAGCTTTTCTGGGGACTACCTGTGGTCAACAACTAAAGTCAGTATTGTAGTAAGAAACTCGACATGTAAAGTTTGTACTCCAGAGAAAAAAATAGACAACGATTTTCGCCTTGCTCCTGTCTCTCTAACGTATTATGGGCTCTGCTTGCGTAAAGGCAAGTACATTGTGACACTTCATTTTGCTGAAACATTGTACTCAAAGGGTGAAGATTACAGCATATCAGGGAAACGTGTGTTTGATGTATATATTCAGGTAATTAAGTATTTCAATTTTCATAATCCAATTAATGTACTAATGTCACATTCTAAAGGAACTCTTGATTGTAGGGACGGATGGTGAGGAAAGATCTCAACATAAAGGAAATCCCTGGGCCACAAAATGAAGTAAGAAAGCTAAAATTCCCAGCTAAAATAAACAATGGTTCCTTGGAGATCCAGCTTTTCTGGGCTGGCAAAGGATCTCTGTACAATCCACCAGCTATCAATGGACCTCTCATAGCAGCCATTTCTGTCACTCGTGGTAGGAGGCGACTCTTCCCTTTTCTGTTAAAACCTTGCAGAACTCTTTTAGTCACTTCAATTCTCTGTTGTTACAATCTTGGTTGACAACCGATGTGTTATGTTTGTAAAGTCTCCAGAAAACTACATCCTTGGGAAATCGCGTTGATTACAGTAGGCTGTTTTTTGTTTCTGCTGTTGTTGTTGGCGTTCATATGGAGAATGGGATGGATAGGACAAAGAAAATTGCGCAGTGAGCACTAATCAAAGGTAATCCATAACAAACCATATTAGTTCTCTACATAAGAATTCTTAAAATAATTGTTGTGTTATATATATATATAGACTTAAATTAAAAACTAGCAAGATATTGCCAGAAAAAACAAGGTACTAAAGTTAGAAAGATTAGAGGGAAGCTAGTAATTTTTTTTTTTCCTGCTATTAACATGATTAGCTAAACTATCTGCTACAATATTCTTTACTTCAGTCTGACAAACAAAGAGAGAGTTCGGCTTAACAAAACTATTGTTGTGTAGTTCACTCAATTCATGTGTTATTGGAATAGAAACAAAAGTGAAGGTTTGAGATAGAACTTTCACCTCAAAACAGACCATTGATGCAACTGGAAAAATTAGCTCCTAGATGGTGCTTGGTACGTAGGAGATGTCCTGCTGGGGTAGTACTAGTTGTTGGGGAGGGTCGTAATTTAGAACATTGAATAGATGTTACAACGACTCTAGTCCGTGAATTAGTTATTGATTTAAAAAAAAATATGAATGAGATAGAATTTATAGGTAATTTCATAACAATATCTGTATAAACAAATTTGAAAAGAAAAAAAAATTAGTCTAGTGTATGGATAAAAATGACATAAGAAAAAATATATGAACAGAATTCCAATTGAGAGACTTTCAAAGGTGTGGTGGTGTTGTTTTTGTTGGCCAGGTATCAAGAATTGTGAGAGTGCCGCTTGAAAATGTACCTTTGAGGCTTGAGCAATGGATGTCTCTAAAAGTTTCGAGGAGGTTGAAGAAGGCAATCTCGCCTATAACATGCATCTTCTTAGTCTCCAACATGTATGTTTGAATGTAGGATCTCAAGAATTTTTATTTAATTGATGTAATAATTATATATTGCGATTATTATTTTAGGTTGATTTTGAAAATTAAGATTTTTTTCAAAAAAATAAAAATAAAAAAGAGAAGAAAATGCTTTCCTTGTATCCAAATCACTATATATTCGAATCCTTAACTCATACTTATATTGACTATAGTGACCCTTAGCCAGCGTTGGGGACTTTTTAGCGACACTTATCGGTTGAAAAACATAAAGGTTGATAGAAAGGAAAAGGAGAAGATAAGAGCTGAAGAAGGAACTGTGTAATATTATTCCTTACATATGTAACTGATTACAAAAAGTCTATATAAATACAAATGGAAAAGACCTAGCATTTACTTCTATATCTTACATAAAATAGGAAAAGTAATTGCATCTTATGGAAAATGGTAAACTCTCCTAATTAAGATGCTAATATAGGAATGTGATTCAACCATGATCATATCAAATTGTATCACTCCCCCTCAAGTTAGAGGGTCCAAAATATTGAGCATACCTAACTTGGCAAGATGACGAAGAAGTAAATCCTCGTCAATGGCTTGGTGAGCATATCAACGAGGTTGGGATTGAGTAGGGATATGAGCCGTAGAAATGAAACCTTGTTTCAACTTTTCGTAAACCAAATGGCAGTCTAATTCAATGTGCTTGGTGCGTTCATGATAAACTAGATTAGTTGCGATATAGAGGGCGACTTGATCGTCACAATGCGATGGAATGGGAAGTGGCAAATGAACCAACAAGTCAAGGAGCAAATTTATAGCCAAGTAAGTTCACAACAAGTAGATGCCATGAAGCGATACTTAGCTTCAACGGAGCTTCGAGAAACTGTGGGTTTCTTAGTTTTCCATGAAATAAGAGCATCACCAAGAAGGATGTAAAAACATAAAAAAATAGATCGTCGAGTCATTAGACAAGCGAGCTTAATCGGAATCACAATAAGCAATCATAGTCAAAGGGTTATGTGATGGAAATAACAAGCCTTGACCAATGGTACCCTTGACATAGCATAATAGTTTATGAGCTCGCTTGAAGGTGTGGTTCATAAGGTGAGGCCATAAACTAATTAAGAATGTGCACAGGATAGGATATATGTGGTCGATCGATGGTTAAATAAATGAGGCGACCCATTAGGCGATGAAAATGATTGGGATCATAAACAATGACACTTGTGCTATTATTCAATTTAAGATGTTGTTCCATCGGAGGTTTGGAACCAAGAAGACCAACATCATCAAGAACATCTAGGGAATATTTACGTTGGCTAAGATGAATGCCGGAAGAAGAGTGAGCAATTTCAAGGCCAAGAAAATATTTTACCGAACCGAGATCTTTTATGTGGAAGGAGAGTGGAGATGATCTTTCACTACATTGATTAATATAGAACTGGTTCTCGTGATAATAACATCATTCACATATCTAAGAAAAGAAATGAAATCGAGCCACGAGTCGAGCAAATAAAGAGTAATCACAACGTGATTGTGTGTATCCAAGGGATTAAAGGAAGGAAGAGAACTTAGCAAACCATTAGCAATTGGCTTGTTTAAGGCCATATAGAGACTTGTTAAGCTTGCATACCAATGGCTCCCCCTTGGTATAGAACCCTAGTGGAGGCTTCATATAAATATCTTCCTATAAATCCCCATACAAAAATGCATTTTTCACATCTAATTAGGAAATTGGCCAAGCCTTGGAAGTAGCTACTGCCAAAAATGTGCAAACAAGTAGTCATTTTAACAACCGGAGCAAAAGTCTCTTGATAGTCAAGACCCTCAACCTATGTATAGCCTTTTTTCCATAAGGCAAGCTTTGTACCTCTTCGCAGTACCATCTAACTTGAATTTTAGTTTATACACCCATTTGCACCCGACAATGTATTTTCCAAGTGGTAGGGAGGTCAAGACCCAAGTGTTATTCTCTTCTAATGCTTGAATTTCCTATGACATAGCATCTTTCCAAAGTGGATTTTGGACAACCTCGGTGTAATTTTGAGGTTCGAAGGTATGGTTGTTTGAGTGACAAAAAGCTTTATGGGAAGGGAAGAGAATAGAGTAGCTAAGATATTTAAGTAAAGGATATGGGGTAACGAAGGTACCGACGTAGGAGTAAAACTGCCTTGTATGAGAGATGAGAATTAGCAAACATAATCTCAAGTCTAGGTGGGTGGTTTAATTGGGCGAGTGGAATGACGTGACATGGTAATGAAGAGGTCCGTTAGTGGCATAAGCTGAATGGGTGAACATGGAGACCGAGATTGTATGTCATTGATAGTCGTGATGTGATTTGTAGTGTGAGATGGGGAAGAGGGTGCGGTAGGAAGATTTGAAAATCCAGTTAGAGAGGTAGGTTGAGATAATTAAGGCTGGCTAATTTTGGCAATGGGTATGGGATGAGTAGCGTACCAATGTGAGGAAGGGGATTTAGTAGATAGGCTAGACTATGGTAGATCGTTGTTGGTTGAATCAATGGTGGGTTGAGTCTAGAGTGGTGTGGAGTGAGGGCTTGGTGTGAGTGAAGGGATAAGGCTAGGATTGGTTGAGCTAGTGATGGGTTAAGTTTAAAGAGGGTCTAGCTTGCTTAGGGAATGGGCCTCGGGGGACGAAAGGCTGGCCCATGAGTGGGAAGGTGGCTATAAGGGGTCAGGCGGAATGGGAACTAGTTAGGATTTAAAAATAAAAGGGAGGAAGTTTTTGGAGAGGTAGGAAGGTTGGGATGTTGCATGTTTGAAGAAAACCGAGATTGGGCATGATGAAATGGAGATCGGGTGATATTGGGAGAAGGGAAGAGGGAAATATTATCAATAAATTCAATGGCATCACTAGGAAAAGGAATTTAGGTTAGGTTCAAGCTATGGTGGGTGGAGAAAAGGAATGTAGTTTCATAAAAAATCACATATCTTATAACAAAAATGCAATGAGAGGATAAATCAAGCACTTCGTATCCTTTTTGGGTTCATGGGTATCTAAGAAAAACACATGGTGTGGCTCTAAGGGTGAATTTATCTATATCATGCGTTTTGGTGGAGGCAAAACAAAGGCACCCAAAGACCACTTAGATTGACAAAGGAATGAATTTTATTGTGTAGGAGTTCATAAGGAGTTTAGTGTTGGAGTAATGGAGAAGAGATATGATTTAAAAGGTAAGTGGCTATCAACACACAGTCTCCCTAAAATTCGAATATGAGGTTTGCTTGGAATATGAGGGCTCGGGCAATGGACAAGAGATGCTCGGTGTTTTCTTTCCGCTATCCCACTATGCTTGTGAGGTGTAAGGTCGGGAGCTTTAATGAAGGATGCCTTTATTGGCTAGAAATGAGGTAAAAGATTGAATAAAAAATTTTAACCCATTATTTATTCTAATGGTTTTGACTATTTTGCCGAATTAGGTTTCGATCATGGCTCTAAATTTTTTCATGATTTATGGTACTTCTATTTTGGCTTTAATGAGGTATGACCAAGTAGCACTAGACAAGTCATCCATAATAGTGACAAAGTATCATGATCCTATTATTGTTTTGACCCGATAAGGTCCCCAAACATCACGATGGACTATATCAAAAATATTTGTGGTAGATGAAATACTTTTACTAAAGGACAAATATTTACGTTGAGCCATATGACATTTTTCACATATTGATGGTTGTGGTTGTTTTATTTCAAGAATATAGGGGGACAAAAAATGCATTTTAGAATGTTACGAGTGACCGAGGTGATGATGCCACAACTATTGGGAGGTGCTAACATGTTTGATGGGTGCAGTGGAATCGGTAAGAGCTCTTAGAGGACGCTGGATGCTTTTAAGGAGAGTGAACAAACCCGTAATTTGTTTGCCAATCCTAAAGTCTTCTTCAATATACGGTCCTACACCAAACAATAATCAAAAGAAAAATGGATTACATAGTTTAGATCTCTAGTGAGTTCACTTATAGATATCAAATTATATTTAAAACTAGGAATGCATAGAATATTTTAGAGTAATATTGTATCACTTAGTTGTATGGTGCCAATATGAGTGATATTATTTTAGGTTACCATTAGGTAAGCTAACATAGGGTATATGGGTAAATGGTCCGATGGTAGTAAACATATTGGGTTATAGGCAAATATGATCGGTTGAGCCATTATCTAAAATCCAAGTAGAGAGGGCAATATCTTATGAATGAGAAGAGAGAAAACAATGAGTATTTACCTATGGTGGTTTCTTCAAGTATTTTGTCTCCTGGTTATTTCAATAGAGACGGTAGTTGTTGAAGTTTATCCCGATTGATTCTAGTGGTGGCCAAATTAGCAAAATGAGTAGTTACTCTTATTGCATTGCTAGGATTCTATTTACTACCCTTGTGTAATTTGTGTCTAGGAGGATATTGAAGGATCATGCATCATATAAAAGTGTGGAATAAATAAATAAATTTCTCTATCCAATGGCTTTAAATCATGCGATTGAATTTACTAATCATACACATATGAATAATAAGCTATAAGTAAAGTATTACCTCTTGTAGTGTAGATCTAAAGTCATCTTCTTTGATTACCCATTCAAGTGTTTGGCCTCTATTGATGATTCACGTAGCCCAAATATCTACAAAGAAGCACTCAAAATTAATAGGGTGCTAGCTCCACCTTTTCTCGATTAAGTATTTCTTCTACAAATCAATACCGGACAACTTTACGACAACCTTAAAGGATAAGGTAAGAGTATTTCTTGCTAGGATTTTTGGAGAAAACTATTTTCTTCCTTTTTTCTCTCTTAGTCGTGTGCCATAGATGATTTTAGGGGCTGACCGAATTTTTTTCTTTTCTCTCTCTTTTATTGACCAAATTTTATGTTATGATTTTACTTGGCCAAAAATACTCTTTTTAGGTAATCTTCCCTTTATGCCGCATATCGCCTCCTATTTATAGGGGAGAGTTTCCTTGTCCTCTAAGGACAAGGAGAGGGGTGGCTATGACTCCATAAAGGACTCTAGGTTGTTGCTTCCTTATCCTCCAAGGATGAAGAGTTATTTTATATGTGGACTACTTAATTATTATCTTTAAAACATTCAACCTTATCCAATAAGGTTAATGTTTATTTTTAAAACATTCATCCTTATCTAAGAAGATTGATGTTTATCCTTACACCAAAATTATTTTAAGGCTTTTAATTAAACCTAACGAGCCAAAAATATTTTAGCCCAATAAATTTATTTTGACTATCTAAATAAATATTCTTAGATTATTTTAGCGGAGTCCATATTAGGAAATAATTTTTTAAAATACCCTTTAACCTAA